CATTTAAAATGTTTTAAGAATTTAGACTTTTCTCAACAGGGAGACATGTCTGCTTCTGGCATACCAATCTACTTCAAGAGGATGATGGGCATTGAAGAAGCTCCTTATAGAGTTTGTTAGTCATTTGGGCAAGAAACTGTGCTTGCCTGTATTACTTGATGATATGCAGTATGAACTGAACATGCAGGACCCACAAAAACATGACTGCTGAAGTTGCCTAAAGAAAGAGAAACAGTCCTTCAGGGTTCCTACTTCACGAAAGAGTCTGCCAGACATTCTGCAGGACACAGAAGATACTATGGGGCTGTAGGCTATAGATGGATACCCCAACTTTGCAGAAGAACATTGGGTGACAGTCCAGGCAGCATGATGTCTCTGTCAATTTGAGAACTTTGGAAGTTGCTTACAATACACTTCCTGTTTACTTAGGTAATAATATATATCCTTCTGGGGCCTCTGAAGAATTGAAGACAGATAGTTATAGTTTTCCTTAGTTATGATAAAAGATAAATTAGATATGAAACTTTGGACTCACAAAGACAGGATAGATGATAAGAGTATTTTCCTTAATTTGCGAAATGTAAATGGACTAAATATTGTAACTATAATTCTTGTTTAATAACTGTTTTGTATATGTAATTTTACTATGTTAAAGTTAAAACCTTTCTTTTTATTCAGACAGAAAAGGAGAGATGATGTGGGATGCCCTTCTGTATATATGTTGCTTTTATTGGATAATGAATAAAACTGTTTTGGTCAATGGCTTAGCAGAGCAAAACCAGGTGTGAAATCCAAACAGAGATAGAGAAAGAGGGTAGGTGGATTTAGGAGGATGCCATGTAGCTGCCAAATGAGAAAGATGCCTTACAGAACCTTACTGGTAGGCCACAGCCTCATGGTGCTACACAGATTAATAGAAATGGGTTAATTTAAGATGTAAGAGTTAGTTAATAAGAAGCCAGAGCTAATAGGCCAAACAGTATTGCAATACAGTTTCTGTGTGATTATTTGGATCTGGGTGGCTGGGAAATGAACAAGTAGTTCATTTTCATCAAGTTCTCATAATTCAATTCCGAATTGAGGTAAGGAAGTAAGTAAAGTATAAACAACAATTTTTGTTGCGAGAAGGGGGCAGTGATGATCCAGCAAGACCAAGCCTGTTTGAAAATAATCACTAGAGAAGAGCTAGATATGAGATATACAGAGTTTACATATAAAACTTCCACAATTGTAATGCTGACAGCTACACTGATTTAAATCTTCTAAAATACAAGATGTCAAGCCAGGCATTGTAATGTATACCTTTAATTCCAGTACTCAGGAGGTTGAGACAGGCAGAGCTCTGTGAGTTTAAAGTTAGCCTAGTTTAAATGGCAAGTTCTGGGACAGCCAGGTATATATAGACATGGTCTCAAAATGAAACAAAACAAAAGATGCCAAAATAGAAATATACACATGCAAGAAAGTTATTGGAGTAAATCATGTGAAAGAATATGCAGAGAGAGTTTTAAAACTGGGACAGCCATCATATCATGATGCAGAGCTAATTTCTGAAGAAGAAGATGTAAGCAAGGTCTTAGACTGCAATGCAGTTGTATAGTTTCAGCAAAATTGTTGGAGAATCTTCAAGCCAAAAATGGTCATTAGAAGAATCTAGGTCTCCATGGAATGGTCTTCATTAGTATTCTTGCCTTGCTCATTCAGTATTTGGGAGCCATCCATGGAAACGGTGGCTTTGGCAGGAAAATAATAATGGATTAAAGAATGCAGAAGTTGGGCACTTGGCCAGCTACACTCTTTTTGGTTGGACATTTTAGAGGCACTTTATGGTGGTTACCACAAGAACTAAATTCAACACTGGTTGCCAGAACACTATGGGCCAAAAACATCTTCAAGCTATATGAAGTCTAATAGGGTCATCTATCAGCCTCTGTTCTTGCCACTAATAAATGCTTCCCCATCAATGCACAAGCAGTAAGATTTAAGGTACAAAGTTAGAACACACACAAAATTAACTGATTTGGATTTTAAAATGCACTGCCATATTCCTTCCCTGAGCTGTTTCCCCACTCCCAGACCTATCCCTGGTCACGCATACTGTGTACCAGCTCAGTCTGGTGAATGTCCCAGATTCCCACCCAAACTTTCTTCACACTCCCAAGCCTATATCAGATAGTACAGATTGTGCATTAGCTGAAGCAGATCAAACTGGGAGTCACATTTGCATGCTTTCTTCATTACCACTGAACTGAAATAACTCCTACAACACCAATAAACAATGAGTACCAAGTGGCCACAGGACTAATCTACTAACTCTTCATACTAGATTTTAAGTCATACAAGCTTGGGCAACAGCAAAAGCAAATCAAATTTCCATATAACAGAGTCAGTCTAGAATCTCACATCAGACCCATAATCAATGAAAGAAATCCACAAACCCAGATCAACATGTGTGCAAGCAAGCACACACATACTATAAAAGAACAAGATAGTATTCTCCTCCTTATATTCACCAGTCCTGTAGAAATATGACTCAATCACAGTTACCTAGGTCAGGTCCTCAACCTGTGGTTGCAACCTTTAGGGGTTGCAAATCAGATATTTTGCATATCAGATATTTATAATAACAGTTATGAAGTAGCAATGAAATAATTTTATGGTTGGAGGGTCACCAAAACAGGAGGAACTATTTTAAAGGGCCACGCCACAACATTAGAATGGTTGAGAACCACTGAACTAAATGAACACCAGGAAATGAAAAAAATCAGGATTTTAAAACTGCATTCAAAAAGAGACAGAAATGCTGAAGAAAATTCAAGCTGAAATGAAGATGAAGTTGAAAAACATTAATAACCCAAGTAGAAAACTCAGAAGAATGCTTTGCAGGAATCAATCAAGTAGAAAATAGAATATACAGACTTGAAGATAAAGTAGAGGAATTAAACCACAAAGCAAATATGAAAAATAAAATACATAAAAGGAATTTTAAAAATCCTAATATTCATATGGAAGCAATAAAGGCCCCTGCATAGCCAAAGCAATTCTGAGCAAAAGGACCAATGTTGGACGGATTACCATACCATATTTTAAGCTATATACAGAGCTATAGTAATAAAGAAAAAAGCATTGTGATGGCAAAAAAAACAGACATGTAGACCCACAGAACATAATAGAACACTCAAACATGAGTGAATGTAATTAGAATCCTCTGTTATGGCAAAGATGCTAAAAATATACACTGGAGGAAGGAAACACCATTTTCAACAAATGATATTGGGAAAATTGGATGTTCATATGTAGAAGAATGAAATTAAAGCCATGTCTACCATCCTGCATAAAATCAACTCCAAATGGATCAGAGACCTTAATGTGAAACCTGAAACACTATAACCAATAGAAGAAAACATAGGCAGTACCTTACAAGATAAATGTATAGTAAATAACTTTATTAAAAGAACTGTATTTTCTCAGGAATTAAAGTCAATAATTGAAAAATAAGACCTCATAAAACTAAAAACTTTATATCCTAAGAACTTGATTTCCTCCTATGCAGCTATGTTCATTATCACTCTATTTACAATAGTTAGGATATGGAAACTACATAAATGATCTTTAACTGATGAACAGATACTGAAAATGTGGTACATATACAGTGGAATCCTATTCAGCTGTAAAGAAAACTGAAATCATGAAAGACTCAGGAAAATAAAGGGATCTGGAAAATATACTGAGGTAACCCCCACTCTGAAAGAGCAATGTCACATGTTCTCTCTTATTTGTGGATCCTTGTTCCAAATCTTTAGATTTGGATATATAACCTGAAGTAACTGAAGAAGCAAGAAAAGTAGAAAAGGAACATGGTGGGAGTAGGGGATAAGAGCTCTAGGTGTGGGGTATAATAGAATATTAGTTCTATGAAGAGGGAAAGGAGAAAACAGGGAGGGGCTTTAATTGTGGAGGAGTAAGGGTAATACAGAAAGAAAGGCAGGAAAGAGAGATAAATAACACTAAAGATGCTTGAAAAAACATATAAAACATTTTAAAAGTTTACTTAAACACAAACACACACAGTTTAAATAGAAATATGCCACATGGGATGATAATGCTCTCCCCAACAACCATTATTATGTAAAACAAACAACAAACAATAAAACAAAGAAGCCAGCCATGGAAAACTTCCCTTCAACTTGTTGGTAAGAGCAGATCTAAGAGACTAATAAAGTAACATAGACTCTTGATCACCTACCAGAACTTGAGTGTAAGATCCTATTGCTGAAGACACTGCATACTTTAGACACAAAATTTGCAGGGACTGAACTGGAAATGATATAGAAGCCTCCTCCCTGAGGACAAATTCTCATCGTATCAGAAGGTGTCAAGGGAGAAAAAGGAATCAATAGCCCCACCTAGCTGTTAAGCCTGCAAACCAGGACAATGACCAGTTAGCATGGCATCCCCACTAGTGCAATAATGGCAATTATATTTCGAGGGTAACCAATAGACCTACTCAATAAGAGGAAAATTATGACTGGTATTGTAAAGCTAGTCAATTATCCATGGCTGGAGTGATCATAGACCCTGGAGAACCTACCACTGCCATTTTCCTAAATCACAATCTCTAACTGTATTCTAAATACTTATAGGTAAGTGGAGTTAGTTCTCACCCCAATCAAAGAAGCTTATTTTTGTAGCATACAAAAGTTTCTACAAAGATCTACAACTTGTCCAAATATAGAGAACAAATGAGTATGGGGTGTCCAACCCCAATTAATAAGTCTACAACACAACCCCTATACCTAAGATCCAGGGAATATCATAGGAGAAAAGGGTGGAAAGGGTGTAAGAGCCAGAGTACCAAGACATATGCTACAAAACAGTGTCATCTATGTATGGTAGGGAAGCTATACCCATGAAATCTCAGATTATGGTCACCTAAACAAGATCAGCATGAAACAACAGCAGTTGACATACTAATGTGGACTGAGGAAATTTTCACTCACCCCCTAGATGCAGAGCTGTGTACAATCAATGGCTGTAGAGAGAGAGAGAAGGGGGAAGAGGGAGAGAGAGAGAAAGAGAATAAGTTTTCTCTAGTATTGCAATCTTGTTTTCTCCTAATAAGCAATCCCAAGTGATCAGTCCTAAATGATTGTACATATAAGTAATAATAACTAGACTCAGTAGGTTGTATACTTGTTCAAAGTAAATAAAACACAATGCCAAGGTTTCTCCGTAGCTTTTTGGTTCCTGTCCTGGAACTAGCTCTTGTAGACCAGCCTGGCCTCGAACTCACAGAGATCCACCTGCCTCTGCCAAACCCTGTCTCGAAAATTAAAAAAAAAAACCACAATGCCAGAATAGAAAGGTAGTTTCATGGTATGGAGGAGAAAAATGACAATCCAAAAAGAAAAGAACCATGAGATAAAGCAAACTGTCTTCGAGCATTATAGGATAATATATAATGAAGTTTAAAAAAACAGAAATTAATGATAACAACTGACAAAAGCAGAGCTCAGATCTTTTTGGCATTAACTGAATAAATACTACTACATATACTTTAATGATGAGAATTTACTATGAGAAAAGAGTACACACAATACACACACTAGGAAATCATAAGGGAACTATTTTGGGAGATGAAGGGTGCCAATGGAAAGGGGAAGGATGGTGGAAGGAAGAGAATGAACACAAACAAATTCTATATTATTTGCAATACTGTTTGGCTAATAACTTAGGCATATTTCTGGCTAACTCATACCTTAAATTAACCCATCTCTATTAATCTATGTATTGCCATGAGACTGTGGCTTACTAGGTAAATTCCAGCATCTGTCATGGCTTCTCTCTGACTCCACCTTCTTTCTTCCAGCATTCAGTTTACTTTTCCCCACCTAGCTCTGTTCTACCCTATCACAGGCCCAAAACAGCTTATTTATTAACCAATGGTATTCACAGCATACAGAGGGTAATCCTACATCATAACAATATATTCTCTTTCCCATTGTAGTAGGAGGCCACTTGTTTGGCCTGGCTGCCCAGAACCAAAATAACCACAAGAAACTATATTAATTAAAACACTGCTTGGCTTATTATCTCTGACTTCTTTTTGGTTAACTGTTACATCTTAATTTAACCCATTTCTAGTAATCTGTGCATCACCACTAGGTTGTCACCTACCAGCAAAGTTTCAGCACGTCTGCCTCTGGCAGTTCCATGGCTTCTCTCTCTCCACCTTCCTTCTCCTAGTATTCAGTCCAGTTTTTCCCCACCTTCCTAAGTTCTGCCCTATAATCAGGCCAAGGCAGTTTCTTTATTCATTAACCAACAAAAGCAAAATATAGACAGAAGGACCTCCCACACCATCCCATTCGTTGAAAGATTTCCTCTTCCCCATAGCTCCTTAACTAGTTCATAATGAGAAAGGTAACACAGAATCAAAAAGACAAGCATATCATATTTTCCCTCAAATACGAATGTTCTCTTTAAAGATTTAGATATGTATGTTTTATTTAGAATACCTATAGATGATAGGTAATTGCCAAGTTTCTTACCAAGTATATTAGCCAGGGTTCTATAGAAGAATAGAACTGATAGAATGAATATTCACATATGGAGTTTAAATAAAGTTACCCTATAATGGGGGGCCAATCACAACTAGATACCAGACACTACCAAATAAAACCCCTACTACTGTAAATGGAGACTGTTCGTTTGGTTCCTGGCTGCCCAGACCCAAATAATAACACAGAAATTATATCAAATACAACACTGTTTGGCCAATAATTTAGGCATAATTTTAGCTAATTCTTACATCTTAAATTAACCCATAATTCTAGTCTGTGTTAGCCATGTGGCTAGGTACCTTTTATCAGTGAGGTATCCTTATCTTGTTTCTTCTGAGTCTGGGTGACAACTGCAGACTGAGCCTTTCATCTTCCTAGAATTCTCCTTGCCTGGTCACCCCACTTATATTTTCTGCCTGACTATTGGCCAATTAGCATTTTTTTGCAGTTCTAACATTTATTTATTTATTTATTTATTTAGTATACAGTGTTAGTTTCTAATATTTATTTATTTTATTTATTTTTTGTCTTTTTTTAAATTTATTTATTTATTAAGGATTTCTGCCTCCTCCCCTCACCCGCTTCCCATTTCCCTCCCCCTCCCCCATCAAGTCCCCCTCTCTCATCTGCTCGAAGAGCAATCAGGGTTCCCTGACCTGTGGGAAGCCCAAGGACCGCCCACCTTTATCCAGGTCTCGTAAGGTGAGCATGCAAACTGCCTAGGCTCCCCCAAAGCCAGTACGTGCAGTAGGATCAAAAACCCACTGCGATTGTTCTTGAGTTCTCAGGATTCCTCATTGGCTCTAGCCATAAATAAAGGACATTGAGCTTATAATTCATGTTCCTAGAGAAGCTAAATAAGAAGGTGAATCCAAAGACAAACACATAGGCATCCTCATGAATATTAACCTTCATCAAGCGATGAAAGGAGACAGAGACAGAGACCCACATGGAAGCACCAGACAGAAATCTCAAGGTCCAAATCAGGAGCAGAAGGAGATGGAGCACGAGCAAGGAACTCAGGACCGCGAGGGGTGCACCCACACACTGAGACAATGGGGATGTTCTATCGGGAACTCACCAAGGCCAGCTGGCCTAGGTCTGAAAAAGCATGGGATAAATCCGGACTAGCTGAACATAGCGGACAATTAGCATTTTATTAAACCAATACAAGTGACAAATCTTTACAGGGTACAAGACCACTATCACACATACTACCAAGAATGAGTTACCTCCTTTTTTGCATTTCTTTTTTTATTTTATTTTATTACTTTAAAAAAATACCAATCCAAATTCCCACTCCCTCCCCTCATCCACCTCCCGTCCCACCCACTCCACATAGCCTCTCACCCCACCCCCTTCAATCCTAAGAGCATGCTCCAATACTGAGTGGACTTAAGAGTTACCTCTTTTATAATTGTTGGCCAACAAGGTCCCATAGATCCCCAAACATTATATGCAACCAATGCTACTGTAACCCCCATGCCCCAGACCTTGTCACTAAGACCAACTAAAGACACTTATTGACGATACCACATACCTAAGTTATAGAACATCAAGAACTCTAGCTGCTACCCAATTGGAAGCTTCATCCCTACTGTTTACTCTTTATAAAATTTCCATTCTTCAAAGATGATTCCAAACCTCACCTCGCATAAACAACACAGATATTTATATTTTCTGATGGTCAATGGTACACTTTTAAAAAAAGCATTTCATTTACTGTGTGTGTGTGTGTGTGTGTGTGTGTATGTGTGTGTGTGTGTGTGTGTGTGTGTGTGTGTGTGTGTGTGTGTGTGTGTCGGGGGTGCACATATGGAGGACAGAGGCCCTATTCACAATAGCCAGGAAAGGGAAACAATCTAAATACCTTTCAACAGACAAATGGATAATGCACACCTGAAAGCTCTAGAATGAAAAGAAATCACACACAAAAGGAATGGATGGCAAGAAATAAACTCAGGGCTGAAATCAATGAAATAGAAACAAAAAAAAATACAAAAATTCAATAAACAAAGAGTTCTTTGAGAAAAATTAGTAGGATTGACAATCCATTATCCAAATTAACTAAAAGGCAAAGGGGAAATATCCAAATTAATAGAATTAGGAGTGAAAGTGAGACATACCAACAGACACCATGGAAAACCAAAGAATCATGGAGACATACTTTAAAAACCTGTACCTCATCAAACTGGAAAAATTTAAAAGAAATTGATAATTTTCTTGATAGGCTACTCTTACCAAAGTTAAATCAATATCAAATAAGCAATTTAGATAAAACTATATCCTAGTGAAATATACGTAGTTATTAAAAAGCCTCTTAACCAAAAAAAAAGCCTAGTGCCAGATGGTTTTCATGCAGAATTCTATCAGACTTTCAAAGAAGAGTTAACATCAATACTCCTCAAAATGTTCCACAAAATAGAAACAGAAGGAACACTGCCCAGTTCATTTTATGAGGCCACAATTATTCTGATACCCAAATGAACAGAGAAAGAGCATTACAGCAAACAGACTTATACTTAACATCCTCTACAAAACTCAACTCCAAATGGATAAACACATAAACATAAAAACAGATACAATGAACCTGATAGAAGAATTAAGTGGAGAATATTCTCAAACTCATTGGCACAGGAAAAGATGTTTTGGACAGACCACTGTTAGAACAGGCATTAAGATCAACAATTACTAAATAGGACCTCATGAAACGAAGAAGCTTCTGCAGGGCAAAAAACACTGTCATTCCAACAAAGTGGCAGCCTACAGAATGGATAAAATTTTTACCATCTATACATCTGATAGAAGGCTAATATCCAAAATATATAAAGAACTCAAAAATTAGATAACAAGAAAACAAAAAAAATCCAGCTAAAATGGGGTACACCTGTGGAAGAAGGTAAAGAGGAATTGTGTGGGAGCCAGAGGGATTGAGGACAGTGGGAGAGCCTGGCTAACAGAATCAACTAAGCAGGGTTCAGGGGGGCTCACACTGAAGTGGCAATTGCAGAGCCCGTGTAAGTCTATGCTAGGTCCTCTGCTTATATGTTATGGTTGTTGGCTTGGTTTCTTGGGATAACTCCTGACAGTCGAAGTGGGGGTATCTTAGACTTTTTTTGCCTGCTCCTGAAACCCTTTTCTCCTAGTGAGTTGCCTTGCCCAACCTTCATGTGAGGGGTTGTTCCTGATCTTATTGTCTCTTGCTATTCAGTGCGTGGTTGATGTCCCTAGAAGGGCTTTAATTTTTTTTTTGGCGGGGGTTAATGAGGGGAATGAACCTGGTGGAGAGGGGAGGTGGAGGAACTGGAAGAAGTGGAAGTAGGGGAAGCTGCTGTTGGGATATACTGTATGAGAGAAGAATAAATAATAAAAAATGGGGTACAGATCTAAACAGAGAATTCTCAAAAGAGGAACTCAAATCGTTAAGAAACACTTAGAGAATGTTTGACATTCTTGGCCACTAGGGAAATGAAAAACAAAACTATGCTGAGATCTCATCTTACACAAGTCAACAGAATGGCCAAGGTCAATAAAACAAATTATAGCTCATACTGGTGAGGATGTGGAGTAAAGGGAACAGTCTTGCATTGTTGGTGGGGGTGCAAATTTGTACAGCCACTATGAAAATCAGTGCAATAGTTCCTCAGGAAGATAGGAATTGAACTACCTCAAGGACCCGCTATATCATTCTTGGACATAAACCCAAAGGATGCTCCATCCTACCACAAAGACTGTTGCTCAACCATGTTTATTTCTGTTCTATTCATAATAGCCAGAAACTAGAAACAACCTAGTTGTTTCCCAACAGAAGACTAGATTTAAAAATATGTGGCATATTTACACAATGGAGTATTGCTCAGCTGTTAAAAATAATGACATCATGAAATTCATAGGCAAATGGATGAACTAGAAAAAATCTGGAGTGAGGTAACCCTGACCCAGAAAGATACATATTGCATGTATGTATTTGAATGTGGATGTTAGCCACTAAGTAAATGATAACCAAGCTACAATCCATAGATCCAGTGAGGTTAGATATAGAGGAAGAAACTAGAGGGTACAGTACAGATAGGTCTTGTTAGAAAAGAAAAATAAAATAGACAATATGGTTGAGAGGTGGGGCTGGAACTGGAGGATCAAGGGGGCTAAGGGAGGTAATATGGGGAGAGATAACTAAAATTAAGTGATGGAAACTTCATACAGTAGAGACTTCCTAAAATATTTACATATATGAAAGTCATCTGAAGAAAGTTACCAGATAATGGGGAAACAAAGCTCCCAACTGGCCATCGCTTGTCACCAAATGAAGCACTGGGATTGGCTTACAACTAACTAAGTTGTTGGCCAAAGGGGTCTCTTTCAATCCCCAAACAACCCAGGCTGCTGCCAAGGTTATTTGTTGTTCTCCACAAAATGACAGCAAGACCCAATTGCTGAGGACAAAACCAACATAACTCATTGAACATAGAGAAGTTGAGCTGATGGCCTACATAGAGTCTTCACTCCTATGTTCTAGTAATTTTGGTACAGGAATGCACTTGCACATTACCAAAAGAGAAATATATTACCAATCCAGACACAAATACTTTGATACACAATGTTATCCTGCCTGAATGATATGCTAGGGCAATGGTGGCACAAAGCTTGTGGAAGTAACTAACCAATATCTGATTTAACTTAAGGCACATTCCACGAGATGGAACCCATAGCTGAGAGCTAGGGTAAAACCAAATACTACTGGTCTAAACAACAATGTAGTGACATCTAATGATATTCTGCTATACTCAGATCAGTGCCTTGTTCAGTCATCATTAAAGCTTCCTCTTTTGGCAGATGGAAACAAAGACAGAGACCCACAGTCAAGCAATATGCAGAGAATGAGAGACCTCAGAACACTCAGCCCTAAATGGGAAGTATCCATCAAATCCTTCCCCACAGGGTTCCTTAAAGAAGAGGTGGAAAGAGTGTAAGACCCAAGAGGATAGAGTAGGAATTGTTTCCTTTGTTGAGCAGAAGCTTTTTTTAGTATCATATAATTCTATTTGCCAATCCCTGGAATTATTCCCTGTGCTATTGGAGTCCTTTTCAGAAAGTCCTTACCTATACCTATATACCGATGTGTTTCCCTTTGTTTTATTTTCTAGCAATTTTTGAGCTTTATTTTAAGGTTTTTGGTTCACTTTGAATTGATTTGCATACAGGGGAGAAATATGTTTCATTTTTCTACATGTGGATAGTTTTTTCCAGTCAAAGAGGCTGTCTTTTCTTCAATATGTTTTGATTCCTTATGCAAAATTTAGATGTTTCTTTCTGGAGCCTTTATTGTATTCCATTTGTCTACATGTCTATTTGTATACTAGCTCACACTACAAGAAAAAAATGTAATTGTTTTTGAAAAGGAAAAATAATACAATTGAGAAGGGCAAAAATAATTCAAATTTCTCATACACAGATGGTGGTTAATGTGAATTTTCTGAATGTAAAAAATGTTGCAGCCCTTTCAGAAAAGTCTATTATTCTGAATGTAAAAAATGTTGCAGCCCTTTCAGAAAAGTCTGGCAAATTATACAAAGGAGTTTCAATATATAATTATACATGAATATACTGTGTTTTGATTACATTTTGCTGGCTTGAAATTTGGAGGGTAGAAGAGAAATGGAATGATTTTTAAAATATTCATGATGTGGAAGTGACAAAACTCTATACTGGCTAGAAACAGATGATGGAGAAGGGTGAGGATGCCTCATAACTGAGCATGTTTAAGGTCCAATTCCTGTCTCCCTCCTATGTTGCATTTCTATGTTCCTAAGGACAGTAAGTGGGTTGTCCTAGCACAGAGTAGGCATTCACTACTTAACGGAGTATGAGGAATACAGGAAAACAGATTAAAAGAGCAAAAATATGGCTAACAAAACAGTCACCAGTGGGTCCTTCCAAACAATCAAGCCTAAAGTCACCCTCAAGACCATTCAACAGATGTTCAGCGCCACCCTCCTGAGACCATTCAAGAAGCCATTTGTCCACTTTTTTACTCAGAAGAATATCTCCCTTCTTTATCAGCCACTTCTTGCCTAGAACTCGCAGGTGTGGCACAGGCTGGGCTTTCCCATGATTCTCTCATTGCTTTCAGTCTTTGCATGGAACAATAGGAGCCTCAGTTTTAAAAGGCAGAAAACACAGCTGCTAGAAAAAGCTTAGACACTGAACGGATATTTTGCTGCCATTCTCAGAGTTGACAAACAGAGGCAGAGTAGTACTGACTCCTGAGACAGACACCAAGACAAGGAAGCTATCTATTTGTTCCAGTTTTTATTTCCAAGAAAGAAGTAGGAGGAACACACAGTAGAAGTCCTCAAACTCTACTAGAGCGAACATTCTGTTCATCACACTGCTTATGAGATAATGTATAACTTCTTTAATATTGTGGTAAATTATATTTTCTTTTCATGGTTGTTCTACAATAAGGACGACTTGGAAGACCCAATATTTGTCCAAAGAGTTCATATTACTTCTGTAACTTTGTAGTCACTTACCTAATGTAAAATGAACTGCTTTTAAGTTTTAACCAAAGTGTATCCTGCTAAAATGCAACAATAAAATAAGACCACTGTAGGATAATGGATTATTGAAGTGCTCCTAAATAGGAGAGTTCAGCATTTTTATTCAGTAATTAAATAGTGAAACTTAAAACTATTTTTTTCATGAAACTTACTGGTGGTATATTATGTTTATTCAGTACACAACATTTTGGACAATAATTTTGTTTAAATTTTTTACTAATAAAGTATTCATAAGAGCATTTTAGAGTTGATATTCAATTCGTGCACTAAATGAATATTTCCAATAGTTTAGAAAGGTTCTTCATAGTTTTTTTCAGAACAGAAAGAAAGGTTTCTAGCCTACCTTCTCCCAAGACTTATTCTGCAACTACATTGACAGCCCTGATCTGGGTAAGAGGTGCACACTAAGGGTAAAATCTGGTCAGAGAACATTAGTGAAAATGAGAGAAAGACAGCAGCGCTGTAAATTCTTGCAAAAGCAAGTTTCCTCCCTCAGCTTCATGGCTGAGCAAAATGAGGCATGCTGAACTGTAGAGACCAAATGAGTGGCGAATTCAGGGCTGGAAGGTCTAACCGACTTTGAAAACATGTATACTGGGTGTCATTCTCAAACGCAGCTTGCTTCAGCTGTTTCACAGTGTTAGGTAGGCCCAAAAATGCCCTATGCTGATCGCCAGGACTGTGTCGCAAAACTAGCACAAATCGTGAGAACAGCCTTGCAGTAAGGAAAGAAATGTTTTCCTCAGTCAGTGTAAGGTTAGTATTATCAGCCTGGGATGGGGATTGGAGCCGCCACTGCCCACTGTGCCAGGCCCCAAAGCCCAAGATGAGGTGAACCCGTGGGTCCTGGCCACCTAAGACACCCCTTCCCAGACCCGAGCAGCGGCACCTACCTGTGCTGGAGGTTGCGACACAGAAGTTTGCGGAGACAAAATCAAGCAAAGAGTGGCTGAAGCGCAGCCTAGTCACTCCTTTTGCTTTTTACTACCCAGCCCCCAAGGCAGACTGACTCCCGTTCCCCCTCCCCCAGCCTGCTCTAGCCTTGCAGAGACTTTTAAGGCCCCGCCCCGCTCCTCTCCTTCCGGACTTGCAGGAGTGGGAGCCTCACGGGGGCGCCTTTAAAGACTAGATTCCAGAAAGATCAGTCAAGTGCTCTAGTTTCATTGAACAGGTTTGGAGGTATAATAAGAGAAAGATGGGTCCAGGATATTAAAATGCACGTAAAATTCTGGTTGCCTTCCTGCTATTTCTGTGCTCTTCTATAATCTGGTTATGCTAATATTAATAGTAGTTTATCGAGGTTTTGTAAGAACTAAATTTCTTACATTATCTTTCCATGTGTCTCATCCCTCACTACTGGATTTCCATACATTCGGAAGAGCATTTTGAATCAAAGGCCCAGTTACAGTGCTAATATAGTGAGATTTAGAAGAGGAATAAACCACAAGGAATGAGCAACCTTGTGTGAATGAAATTTAATAATAATGCATAATAAAAAAAACTAAGAAATGAATCATGAAATAATATGTCATAAAGGTACAAAAATAGTTTGCCAATCCAACATCAACAGAAGAAGAAAACATTTTTATTATTACTGAGGCTTTCAATATTTCTCTATGGTTTATCCTGGAATTCTTTCTGTCTGCAGTTGTTTATTTGGAAAATTGATATTCTTTTTTTAAAATTCAATTGAGGTATTCCTCTGTGATTCTTGCACTGTTATTTTCTATGTAAATATATATTCTACTTTATCACTCAGTGATATGCTTCACATATCAATTATTCTGGACTATAATTTCTCTTTCTGCATATCTCTACTTTGCAGTGAACAAGCAGCATTTTGAACTTTTGTATTTTTCAAATACAAAAAAAAATTTTCAAACTTGATTTTCAAGCATAAGATGTATTCTTTAATATCGGTTAAGAATTGCCTAAGGTCACTGAATATACACACTAAAGATTATACCCAAAATGTGAATTAATGCTAAGAATAACTAAATAAAATGAAAATCTAGATTTAATCTGACTGCTATTCATTCATGCAACGAATATGGATTCTTAATATATGTCAAACTCTGCAATGATCTCTGAGTACAAAATGATGATCAAAACTAGGACATAGTTCATGCCTTTGTAGTTTTAAGCTTAAAGAACAAATCAGTGGGGACCAGGCAAATAAGAAAAAGGAGAATATTCCAGATAGAAGGAAAGCATGATCTAATGTCTGGTAATATGAAGGAACCTGACAATAGTGAATGAGTTTCCAAGATGAGATTAAAACCTAAGTAAATCATATTCAATTGGAACTATAATAAAAAAACAAGTTAAACCTAAAAAGAGTTCTTTCATAAAAAAATATTTTCATTGGCTCTAGATACTTGACATCAGTCTGTAATAAACTATGCTAAGAGCTTCCAGAAAATAATACATGGACTCAAATATTGCTATTATAAACCTATGCCTTAGCAGCAGTGATGGTGGGTGCCTTTGGTACATGATGCTACCCAGAAACAGAACAAATAAGGGAGGAAAATTAGATACCCTAAATGCATCTATGTGGAACACACCTACAAATTTGGTCAAAAGGCTTTGCTTCTCTGAACCTCAATGTCCTATTTCATATGTGGGTATAATACTAGTATCTATCTCGTAAGATTATAATGATTAAATGAGACCATGCATATAAAGTTATGTCTGTCAAGCAGTGTTAGTATTATCTGTTGTTAAGATAGTAATCTTAAAATACAGTACATTTTAGTGGCTGAAATAGAGAAAGTATGAATAACCAGACAAGACAGAGTCCAAGTACAATTTGATCAATAGTAAATGGATAGTAGAAGAAAAGTTTCTTGTCAGGGGATATGGTGGCTGGCATATGCCTTTAATCCCAGCACTTGGAAGGTAAAGGCAGGAGGATCTCTGTAAAATTCAAGGCCATCCTGCTCTACATAGCAAGTTCTAGGACAGTCAGGGCTACATAGAAAGTCCCTGTCTCAAAAAGAAAGAAAGAGAAAAAGAAAGAAAGAAAGAAAGAAAGAAAGAAAGAAAGAAAGAAAGAAAGAAAGAAAGAAAGAAAGAAAGAAAGAAAGAAAGAAGAAAGAAAGAAAGGAAGGAAGGAAAGCATTGAAATTATTTACTTGTTGACTTTCTTGATTGTGTGTGTGTGTGTGTGTGTGTGTAACAACTTACATAGTGTATGAACTTACGTACTGTATGGCGCAGAACATATTTTAGGAATGAGTAAATATATGGATGGATTAAAACCTCAGAACAGCTAGGCATAATTTCACAGACTTGTAATCTCAGCACTAAAAAGACCCAGTCAGGAATATCATGAGTTTGAGATTAGTCACTTCTTCATAATGAGAATCTGTCTAAAACAAAAGGCCAAAATCCAAACAACCAAATAACCTAGGAACAATGTGTTAGGATACTAAATAGAAAAAAACAATCCCACAATGGTATTTTCTTCTGTTCCTAGAAAATGCTAAGCTTGTTTGTGTTCAACTTCCAAATTATAATATGCACATTCATTTATACCTGCCTTCATTGCTTATAATCCAAGCCAGGGCCTAAAATTATTTTTATGTAAAATCATACAGTGCATATTTTCAGCTATTTTTGAGACATATATAATCTGTCTGCAACTAAATCCTAATTTTATAAAGTAGCAGTAGCCACAGATCACAAAAATATACATAAATGAATGTGTGTGCAGGTGTTCTAGTAAAAATTTATTTACAGAAACAGGAGGCAAGATTTGTTCTGGTTCTGTGGATTATAATTTGCTTGTGGCATGGAGAGATGGCTCAGTACTTAAGAGTACTGGTTGGTCTTCCAGAGGTCCTGAGTTCAATTCCCAGCAATCACATGGTAGCTCACAACCATCTATAGTGGGATCTGATGCTCTCTTCTGGCATAAAGGCATACATGCAGATAGAGCACTCATATATAAAATAAATAAATAGATCTTTTTCTAAAAGATAAAAAGAATTTTCCAACTCCTGATCTAAGCGAACTTACGATCATGTCTTATATGGGCTACTGTAGTGAATGATGTATGGGAATCATTATCTGAAACCAATATTATTTCTGTCTTGACATCTTAGTTTTATTAACATTTTTATTGAAATTTCAATTGACTTTTTAATCTTACTCAGACCTTAAAAGTTCTTGAAAAGTTCAAGCTCAAGCTGTACTTACTAATTTGAATTTGTGCTAGTCAAAATGGTCCTTAAAACTGTTAAAAGGATTAGATAAATTTAGGCCCACTTATTTGATTGAAGAACAACTCATGAATCTGACAACTTTCTGTATCAGAAAAAGTTCAGAGAGCTCTACCCCCACCACATGGGCAATCAGTATTTATAAATAGAACATGGAAATGATGTACAAAATGATCATGTTTGGTTACAGCTTGTGGTTCCTGTTGTTTAGGCATTGTCTGAGCAGTTCACAGCCTGTAGTTGTCTGAACCTCAGCTGGTATGACAAGAGTGAAATTACTACAGTTGTCTCCCTTTATCTTTAACAGATACATTTCAAGACCCCCCACAATGGATAGCAGACACCATGTATATAGTTCCTAACTATGTACATTCATAACTATAGATGTTTGCCACACTTATTATAAACAGCAACCAGAAGGGAAGAGTCTAAAGAAGGAAAGATTTATTTTGTCTAATGGTTTCAAAGTTTTCAGCCCATGTTTGGCTGCAGTGTTTTGGGCCTGAAACAAAGCAGAACATTATGGAAATGGGAGCATATTGGCAGAGGCCACTTATCTCCTACCTGATAATGGTCAGAAAGGAGAGAGAGAGACCAGACTGGGGCGAAGATGTGCCCTTCAAAGCAACACTCTCAGTGGCCCACTTCCTCCAACTAAGCACCATTTTGCAGTTTCTTGACTTCCCAATTAAATATCGTCTTCAAATTTTGAATCCTTGAAGCCATTGGTTAGGTCAGAACTTTCACAGATGATTCCAGAAAATTGTACAGCCTTTCCTACCCTCCAAGCACCTCTCAATCGAATAAAAGCAATAATTAGTAATAAAAAATATTGGTAAAATAGGACAATTAAAACAACATACAGAATTAAAATTATTTAAAACTTAAAAATCGCTCATTCCTAGAATTTTAAATGTAATTTTTGAGAACAGCTGACTGAAACTTGAAAGAAAGGAGAACTTTCGTATTATTAAAATAGGTTGCAGTATGTTCACATATTAAGTTAGATTATCATTTGCTACATATATAGACAATCTTAGACAAAATTTAGTTAAATTTAACACACATATCCTTTGGGTCAGCTTCTCAGTTTTAAGATTGATCAAAATCCTAGACACCAATGCCTTCCTTTCACCATCTTGACTTGTTTGGTCTTAGTATGGAACCCAAAAGTCACAATGTCAAAAAATTATTCATATTTTTGTTATTTTGTGATGAGATCATTAAATACACAAAGAATGATTGTAACATGATTGTTTCAAACTTTTGAGGCAAGACCCTGTACCAGGCAGACTATTGTGATAGCTCACAGTAGGATTTTACTAAGAAACTAAAAACTAAAATGTGCTCTTTAACAAGAGTTTCCATGAAATGAACTCATCAAAAGTAAAATAACAATAATTCAAAGTTCAGATAATAAAAATAGGTCAACAGTATTCATGTGTAGTTGTTTATGGTTTTTGTTCAGGTCATGGTGGCAATTAAGGTTCATAGTTCACTGTGATATGGCCTGACCTAAAGAAGTAGTCATTTCTGTTGTGCACAAAGCTGTGGTAGTATGTCATATCTGAAGATTCATAGAAAGGAACACAAAACTTGGAAATGTTGGAAATAGATACACTTGTCATTCACCACTCAAGATCCCAGTCAACCAGCTGCCAACTTCATATATATGCATGCGTGTGTGTGTATTTATTTTTTGGTTATATTAGACAAACAGCAAAATTGAATATCCTTTTTTATAACACTTATTTATAGTGATAAATGAGGAGATAAGTTTAGTTCTGTTTAGTAGCACACAT